AAAAAAAAATAATAATAATATAAAGGGTTGAGATCTCAGCCCGGAAGTTGTGAGGCACTTACACTGTGTCCGTGTGTGCGTGTACATATGCACACTAGTGACACACCCATGAATCAGTCAAGTGCTATGAAGTTGCCATATACAGAAATATGTGAATGAGTGACAGTTGTTTGTCTGTGAAACTTTATCTCAGTGTTTTTTTCATATGCATATGCATTACATATACTTACATCAATGCATGTGTGTAGTTGAAGTAATTACGGTATGTAAGGCCCAGTTGGTGTGTTTGTGTTGTGTGGGGGTGTTGTGGTGGTTGTGTGTGTTGCATGTGCATGCCCTTTGCAGAGACAGTTTGTAATCAGCTGTCAAAGTGGGCTCTGTCCCCATCGCAGCAGTCGAGCACAGAGTTGCGTTCTGGGCAGTGAAAACCTTTAGGTCCACTCTACATGCTGATCCACACAGCAGCAGCAGCGAAGGTGGAGGTCGGACAGGACAGACATTCAACCCGCACTGCTACAGCATATTGATTATCTGTATTTTGTCAGCTGTCAGCATGGTGGTGTGACTGTCAGTCATTTTGTGTGTTTTGGTTTTCCTGTTTTCAGACTCCAGTGACTGTATTGGAAACCAACTGAAAAAAGGTAAGACTTGGAGTAAGTGATCAATATCTAAGCATGGTTTATATGGACTGATATCCAATACTGCTACTATAACAAAATATTTCAGTGTATTTTTTGATCAGTCACATACAATTTACCACTATGAAACATGCTGAAATGATAAAACATAAAGTTCGATCATGTTTTTGATCTTTAGTTGTTATTGTTATTTAAGGATTCAAAGTTTTAATTGATATATACACTAGCAATATATGTAGTAAAATGCAGCGTGGCATACTCATTTAGGCTGTACTAAAATTAAAAAATAAAAACAAGTATAAAAACCCTACACCACATAACCCTAACCCTAAGAATTTTTTTTTTTATGATTAACAGTTTTTATTTTTATTATTTCAACCCTAAGAAATGTTAAAGGATACATGTTAAAGATATAAATTATGAAATTAAATTAGATATACAAAAATTTACATATGTACAACTGTAAGAAAACTAAACCTAAACCTAATTAGCCGAAGAGGATGTGGTGGACAAGGCTGAGGACATAAAAATACATAAAAGAGGACAGAGTTCAACATAATAGCCTATGGAAAGAAACTTTTCTGCATCTCTCGTGGGGCTACAAAGGCATTTGCCAGAGAAACAAAGTCAGCAGTGGTCTAAAGCACAGTTAAACAGAAAAAGAGACAAAAATAGCTAGAAATAATAAGTCATAATACATAATACGTAATGAGGGCAATAATGGAAGGTAACTTACCATTTTTAGACTTCCTTTAATTGTTGGTCCTCAGCTGGAATTAAACTGGGGACACTGCTGTTAGATGGTATACGTCTTACACACCAATACGCTAAACTTACAGTATATGTTAGATATGAAACTTTCTTACATACATACAAAAAATAAATACATATATACATATATAGATAAATATCAGGCCAGTTGGAGCAGGACCCAATCAGACCCTTATTGTCCTACAGAGGCATTTGTGCACATCATAATTTTATTACAATGTTTATTAAGGACTGAGGCAAATGCAAAGTGTGGGACATATTTCTAAATTAATGAAAAAAACATAAAACATATGTTTCACTGTATGATTCACATGTGCTTTGTATATGCTTTTATATAAAAATTGTATCCGAAAATACTGGAATGCTTTAAGAGATTCTGTGCTTTTTGTGGCATAAATATATACATTTTATGCTCGAACAGCCTTAGTTTGTAAAATGTGTTGTCGATCACTTTAGAAATCAGAAGTGTTTATTAAAGTAAGTAAAATAAATATATTATATATATAAATATAGGAATAACAGCGCACATTTTCAGTCCCATCTGGAAGACATTCGGAGTGTTGCACTAGGTTGTTGACATGAAAAGTGACACTGTGGCCAAGAAAATAGAGGGAGAAATTCAAACACTAAGGAATCATGGTGTGAAGTGGGTAGGAATGTCACATAGCCAATTTTGGAAGGTAACAGAAATGATCAGACACAGCACGCCCTAATCCCAAGTCGGAAAAGTGTGGCGGGAAGGGTTTCTCGAAGCTATCAAACCATCCTGCAAGTAATTCTGAAGAAGCATACTGTCATTTTTAAGTTGCTACAGTTAATGACCCAGTGATTTAGTTACTATTTCATATAAATGGAAAGAAATCGACAGTTCTATTTTTCTGTAAAGTGGTGATGTATTGATTGTCCTGTCCGTGTGTGGGTAAAGATGATCGAGCTAGGCCTCGCTGATGGCAGCCTGATTGACGAGCTGATGGAACTGACAGCACAGAGCCTTGGTCACCTGGAGATCCAGGAACACTTCAACATCATCAAGGAGATCGGCCGAGGGAAATACGGCAAAGTGCTGCTGGTCACGCATCGCTTCAGGGGTATGACTACTCTTTTCTCATATAATCTTTAACATTTGCTGATCTGAAGCCCATTTTAGGATTTAGGATTGCTTAACAGCAGACAAAGTTAGCAACTGGAAATAAATTTGGAAGGTTAAGAGGAGGGTACTATTTAAGAAAAAGATAAAATGGATGACCCTCACTCTCCTGACTGGAGGAGAATTTCGAACCGTAGGCGACCCTAAGCGAAAAAAAGCCAAGCCAAAGTGGAGCAATGACTGCGCCAGTGTAGACAAAAGAGAGAGCAGAATTTAGTGCACAAGCTGGCATGAGGCTGGCTGGCTCGATGCCTGGAGGCTTTGAATTTGAAAACCATTGGAGGTTCAGTGGCTGGGTGACCTGGGAGTTGCAGAAAAGCCAGGCTACAATATAATCAGTTTTACATTAAACAGTGAATACCTAATATCAGCACAGTATCGCAGATGTGCATGACCAGTAATAATAATAGCCAAAGTGAAGTATGGATGATCTACAGGGACTCCCATGGCCTTGAAAGTGATGCCCAAAGCCTCGACTAAGCTGCAGGGCTTTCTGCGAGAGTACTGCATCTCCTTACACCTGTCCTGTCACCCCTGCATCGTGGGCCTCTTTGGCATTGCCTTCCAGTCTAATGAGCACTACTGCTTTGCCCAAGAGCTTGTCATTGGGAGGGACCTGTTTGCTGTCATCCAGCCAAAGGTGAGTCAAACACCGGCAAAACAAGCCTATAAAACCGATACTACAGCCATCTAGTAGGTCTGTGAGGTTGTATGTAATAGGGTTGAGCGAGTACTCGATCGAAACGAGTATCTGGTACAGATACTCGTACTTTTTAGTATCATCAGAGTAAAATGTGTCAATATACGCACTTGAAAATAGAGCAATCTTCAACTTTTAAAAAGTTGTTCTGTAAATGGCTTTCTTGTTCTTGTGATACACTTCCAGTTCTGGTTTAACACAAATCCGTTTTAAGTCCCGTCCACACCAAGTATGGATATGCATACAGAAAAGTTAATTGGTTGGAGAGATAAAGATACAGACCATGGTGAACTCGGTCATCCCTTGTGTTTATTCTGGCACCTTTGCAAACAACACAAAAAGTTCTATTCCTGCTTTGTGTGACGGTTCTAGGTGGGTATCCCGGAATCTTCGGTAAAGCGTTGTGTCCTCCAGATCGCCAGTGCTTTGGAGTTCATCCACAGCCATGGCCTGGTCCACCGTGATGTCAAGCCTGAAAACATCCTCCTGTTGGACAATCACTGCTGCCAGGTCAAGCTGGCAGACTTTGGTCTGGCCCAGAAGAGAGGCACTCTAATACGCTTCATCACAGGAACCCTGCCGTACATGGCCCCGGAGCTTTGCACCGTAGCCCTGATGGAGGGCCAAAAAGAAGTGACCGCCCCTCCGCTTAGTGTGGAGCCAAGCCTGGACACCTGGGCCTTTGGGGTGGTCATCTTCTGCATCCTTACAGGTTACTTCCCCTGGGAGTGCTGCATGGACTCGGATGACTTCTACCAGGAGTTTGCAGACTGGTGCAGAATGGAGGAGAGACCTAACACTGAGGAGGACATGCCTCCTTTGTGGAAAAGGTTCACTCCAGAAGCCATGGAGATGTTTGGTAAACTCCTGGCTCTAGATGCAGGAAAGCGGTGTACAGTGGGGGAAGTGAGAGCTTATGTGGAGAAGGACTGGATTAAAAAGGAACATGGGATTGGGCAGCAGCAGACAGCAGAAAACGAAAAAGTTAGTGCCTCTGGGAATAATCCTGGGCATGGGGAAGTGGATACTTAGTAAAAGACTGCTCTTCTATATAATCTATAGCTTTTGTATGCCTTGACAGAATGTAGAATATGCAATATAGACATTAAATCCTAGTTGCCTGGTATGAGGCATGTGATTTGCAGTGATGTCACATATGGTTTTTACATCATATAGAAGGGTGACGCATTATTCTAAAGCTTGTGTCCTAGAGTATATTTAAAAGACCGTTTGAAAGCAACATAATCAAGGAGTCTACAGATATTGGAGTTCCTGTCTTTACTTAAAGGACTAGTGTGTAGGATTTAGGAGGCTCTGTTGGCAGAAATGGAATGGAATATGATATTCATAGGTATGCTGTCATTAGTGTATAACTGAAAATAAGAATCATTGTGTTTTCGTTACTTTGAAATGAATCGTTTTTATATACACGCTTGGAAGGCGAAGGGTATTCAGTTTGCATGCAATCTGCAACTTCACTGAGATACCACTAAATCCTATACACTGGTCCTTTAGGTGAAAGTCCTGCATTCAAAATGTTACTTGTGTAAAAGTACATCAGTGTTATACGCAGAATTACAACTCAATTAACACATTCATTAATTAATATACTGATATGATACAAAATGTTATGATTTGTAAAGATAGAGCTGATTTTAATTAGTTTATACTTAAAGTACAATGTCAGCTAAGGTGGACCCTTATTACCTAATCTCTGTGGCCTTGTTTTGTAGAGGGGCCTTGAGTCAAAATGTAGTTGTAGTTTACACTGCACTCAAATGGGACCAGGCAGTACTTTTCAGCAAAGCAGTACTGGTTGGTCTCTGGGTCTTGGGTATGTAATGAAGGAGGGGAGCAACAGGGGCCCAAAAACAACAGACCTGTTAGGGGCCTCGGTGCTCTCTAACAGGTCAGTTGTTATCAATGCATTATTATTAGTTAATAATAAGGCATCATATCTTATAGATAATTATATGTTTTAAATGTCAAAATCTTGACCCACAAAGTAACTGCAGCTGTCAGCAATAGGTACAATATGTCCCTCTTGAATGTAGTAAAAGTATAAAGTAGCATCAAATGTGAATACTACTAAGTAGAGTACAAGTATCTATCTAATCTAAAATTGTACTTACGGGGGCACATATCAGGGTCAGTTTACTCATCACAGTTCTACTCGGCCTGTGAAAACAGTAGTATATTGTGGTCTGTGGCTCTGGAGGGAGCTTTCCAAAGTTTGAGAAGTAAAGTAAAGTATGATGTGATCGGGTTTATGTGGATTAAGTTTTCACCTTTAAACTTTTAACAAAAAGCCTGTGTTACAAACTCCACACATGGAGTGCAACAGGCAGTTGCATTATGGGAATGTAGAATTCAATGTTTTTAGAGCTTGATCCATATTCAGGACTAAAAGTAGGGACCGTTCTTTAAAATCTGTATCTTGTAAGTCCACATTTATGGAAGTGGGCTTTTTTAAGCATCAGGTTTATGAACTATTTTTGTTTCTTGTCTTTATTTTTTTGTATTTTTTTTTTTTAGTTATCCAGTCTAAAGTTCTGCTCAAGTCGGTGAAACTTTATTTTTGTTTCAGCAGTTCAAAAAATATGTTGTTTTGCAGCTCATGGCAGCACATGAACCCTTCATATTTTGCACTGTTACTTTAAAGCTATGCGTAATGAAAAGTACATAGTAAAATATAAACCTTTTTACCAGTGTTCAGAATGATTTACATGTATGCAGTACTGAATAGTACAGCAGTGTGAACTTGTACTGGTGTAGAGTAAGTAATACAGGTTTTTGTGGACAGCAGTTAGTGTTTTCAGATATCTCCAAGCACCGTGCAGCACGTTTGTTTTACAGCCTAACATTATCTGGAGTGAAACTGCAGTTCTTTTAAGGGCTCTCCTCTGTTGCTGCATATAACTTATAACAACTCATAAATATAGTTTAGACTTTGAACTGTGGATTGTTTATTTAGATCATTTACATTACTAACTTTGATACATACGTTATGTATAATTTGATGTCTTTTTTTTGTGGAATTAACGTGTTCATAAATGACAAGAGTTCACTGATAACTTTTGTCCTCAACTGCAACAAATCTAACCGTCTGACATTTGGTATAGATGCTTTTTGTTATATTTTGTTAAATTGTAACATAACACACAATTATTATTATTTTTTTTAAACTCCTTAGTATACCTACCTGTTACAAAATCGAAAAAATCAAAGATTGAATTACAATATATACATAAATAATACATATATTACAAGTCAGTGTTGCACAGTGTGCACAGGTGACGCCATCTCCCTTACACAGTTGTATATGATGCTGTGAGAGATTGCAGATGGAAAATAAAAATAAAAAACGGTCTTGCTTTTTTCATCCACTCTCTTGGGCAAATATCATATTACCCTCTTTAAAGTTAGATCCTTGACCTATGTCAGATGTCTGTCTAAACCCCCTTTCACTGACCTTCTTTAGCTTCTTTACACTGAATAATCTCTGCCACAGCTGGCTCTCCACTGATGGATGTCCTGCTTTTGTTTGGGCATATAGGATGCCACAGGTGCTTTCAGGACAAGAAGCGTCACCCCCTGAGAGGGCAGACCCAAACTTGGCCCGGGCCCCTGAACCTGCTCGATAGAACGTATTTAGGGCATTGCACTAACCAGGGTCATCTTTCAGCTGACACCTGGGCCCAACGGCACATCCAGACCTGTCATACAAACACTAATACAGCCACAGTAAATCCAATCGCAAAGCCTGTGTTGGCATTTGACTCACCAGCTATCTGTGTTGGCGTTCCCACACATAGCAGACCCAGTGTTTAAAAAGATTAAAATAATGTTTTGCATGCCTATTCTGTGTAACAAGGCATTTACAACCGAAGTATATATTTTTAAGTTTTTCAATGCAGATTTTTTGCATATGAGTGAGAGATTGTGCTTTTCTGTCGAATCTAACAGTACAAACTCAAGCTAAACTGATAAGCAGAGTATAATTTCCAGGAAACTATATCTACACCAGAATCATAAGTCTTATTGTCACATGATTTCCTTCGCCTGCCAAATAAAGATCGCTTCGTGCTGTTATGAACGACACTGTGCTCATAGACTCTCCTCTTTATTTTATCTACACAGCTGTCACATTTCTGATACTTGCACCCTTAACAAGCATGTTAGTACATTATCATGCACTGAGGTAGATAACCATACGTCCCGGAAAAAGCCATTTCTTTTACAGTTAAATGACAGCTGAAAGATTGTGGAACTGCTTACATGAAAATGTTAAAATTATGACATACATAATTTACCAATGCTTTAGAGAGCAGTTCGAAGCCTTAATTCACCGGGTTGTAAAAAAAAAAAAAAAAGTAGTTGCCATTTATCCTCTTCCAGCACCTGATTTACCTTTTAGTTAAGTTTTACTTTCATCAGGAAAGTGTTTATTTATTCATTAACAACTTTTACAACTGCAGACTGGATGTGATATTATATAGTGAGAAACCCATTAGCATTGATTAATGCTCCCAACATTTATAACAGCATCATGTCCAAATGGAATAGAATACATTGATAAAACTTTAATATATTTAGCATTTATAAGCTGTATATAAACATTAAATTAATATATAACACACTGCTTGTGGCTGTGAACAGATACAAGTGGATTTGGTTTATTATTGTACAGTATTTGTCAACAATTATAACTATAATTTTCATTCATTATCTGTTTATATAGCAGCCTCCACTTTGGTGCCCACAGGAGGAGTTATAGTTGTTGACAAATACATTAATTATCACTTCTAATACACATTCTGTTTACAACTAAATTTCAGTGTGTTATAAAAACCATTTATTAAATGTGTACTGTTTATAATTGTGAATTTGTGGGACTTGGGAAATTGAATAAACCTGAAAAAGAAAATTAAAAGCTGTTCTTATTGATGGCTTCTATACATACAGCTCATGAGTCTTATCCTGGTTTGTTTACATTTGTAAACAAATTTGTTTGTATGTTTGCATACATGATTTGAACATTATCCAGGTTTCTCCTCTGTGCAGAAGGGGTCTTAATCTCTGCAACTTCCAAAACTCCTTCCTATTCTGACAGAGGTACAGGTATCAGGACAATCACACATTCACATAATACAGCCTGAAGCACAGTTGGCTTCCAGTATTCCCATATTTAAAGGACCAGTGGCAGTGTGTAGGATCTAGCTGTGAAGTTGCTGATTACAACCCCTTGCTACACCCCACTGTTCCAAGTGGGCAGGAGAAACTATGGTGGCTGCAAAACTGACAAAAAAATGCAAAACTAGTCTAGAACCAGTGTTTGGTTTGTCAATTCTGGGCTATGTTAGAAACATGGCAGTTCAACATGGTGGCCTCTAGAGGACCCGCTTCCTCTGTAGATAAAAAGGGCTCATTCTAAGGTAACAAAAACACAATGATTCTTGTTTTCAGGTGATATACACTAATGAAAACATATATTATATTATATTTCTGCCAATAGATCCTCCTAAATGTTACACATCTTACACTACACATCGCTTATGCCTAAAAACTGCCCTGTTTCTCAATATTTATTTGCTCCTAATCCTTCATCACATACATCTGTCTGGTGGTAATAGGATAGAATGATTTGTTACTGTTAGTGTAGAGCACAGGTTAAAAAAAAAAGACCAGCTGTTTATTAAGAAGTCATATGCTTCCAGTGTGGATTACATCATGCACCTTTCTCTCCCTCACACACAGAGAGAGAGAGGGAGAGAGAGAGAGCTGAAGACAAGATATCCAGGCTTTTTGGATGACCATATACACACGGGAGCACTATTAATAAATCCACTCCGTTTGTTATGGAAAGTCACCACAACTGGGGCCAGCTGTCTGTCTGTTACGGATGAGCCAGAATGAGGTGCCTAAAGAAACTTTTATCAACATTGATCTGCAGTGTTGGGCAGTAAGTCATTACTAGTAATAATATTACAGTAATAATAATACTTTACCATGCAACTAGTAGTGACTAGTAACTAATTACTGATACATTTCATTAATAATATTACAGTTAATAAGTAGTTACAATATTACTTTTTTTGATGTCACCTCCTACTGAGCTGAAATCCAAAAGTCCAATCACATCCTCCGATTAATTTTTGTAATCATGGAGGAAACTTGTTGGAGGATGAAATGCTGACATTCAGCAGCTGGAAATCTTCAATTACTGTGATTTTAACAAACAAAATTATTTATTTATTAATTATAAATTTAATTTCCCTAAGACTGAATTTTGGGGAGGAAAGAGGGAGGGAGGGAGTAATAAGTAAAGTAATAGTATTACGTAAAGTAAGTAAAAAGTAATGAGTTGCAATAGCTGCCGTAATATATACTTTTTCTCTGAAGCCCCTATACGAGAACGGGAAGCCCAGGTACATTGACTAAACATTTTGTCTAAAGTGATTTCGGTGATTTCACTCTCAGAGCATTTTCAGTTTCATTACCATGAAACAAAAGCAAAACAGTCGAATTGAAGGTTTACAAAATGTAAAATGCAAGTGGATTTTCTTCCAATATGGAAATGGTGATAAAGATAAGGTGGGAATATCAACTCAATATTTAACAAGACCAGGAGTCTATAGCCATGCTAGCAGCTCTGTGAGGTTGTACTACACTGTAAAACCTGAAAATGCATCTAAATAAAAGAAGGTTAACATAAATGAATCCCTGCAAACAACTGGACTCAAGCATTCACATGAATTAAACCTAACACAAAACTTAATTGTTGAAGCAACACATTTGCTTTAAGTCTGAACTTAAATTTTTGCAATGTTTTAAGTATTGGTATTATAATTCCAGTTTGTTCCATTCACTTTTTTTTATTTAAGTTGACTTTACATCATTACAAAAATGTAAGCATTATAATGCTGTATATCTTAGGATTTTTAAATGTTTGTTTTTATAATAGTTTATTAACCATCATAAGCCCAATTATGCATCCAAATAATTCTGGAGCCCCCAAAATGTTCACTCAAGTGAACTTAAGTACCCCTTCTTCAACACCATAATTTATGTTCCTAATGTGTTCACTTTTTAACACAGTGGATATAACAGAGAATTTTACAATATTTTAATATAACATTATAATACAATATATAATATATAATAATATATTAGCTCAAACTGTAGGAACAAGAATTGTTTTTTGACTGGGACTATTCCCTGTGAGTCCCCCCTAGTCATGATGGGCCCCACTAGGTCCTGCTGGGGAGAAGTGGCACCTGAGACTGAAAAAGTTACCTCTTTCACTTATAGATCACTATGTCTCCGCTGTATCTATTTCAGCTTCAGCCACACAGCAGACTTAATCCTACATCATGATCCCTCAGCAAGGCCTCTGACGGCGTGGCTGGGTGTGATGTTAACATATCATACGAGAGCTGCTGCTTACAAATTAGTCCCTTTGGGTGTATCACTGGCTCTGTGATCTCAGTGGCCCTTGGCTAACTCCTGACTAAACATGTGAGGCTCTAGCAGGTCTGTCAATCTCTTAAAAGCAGCACTAGTATGTCTGTCAGTCCCTTACGGATGGCCTTACTTATGTTAACATTTGTAGCGAGCAGCTGCCCCTCTCTGTATGTCTGGCTGGGGGGGAAATGTTGAGATTATAGAGAATGTTAAAGTGCATGTAGATGAAACTGTTTGAAATGTTTTGAGCCGAGTGTTTGAATTTCTTGCACTGCTTGGCTTTGTGGGGTACAGGCAGAGCAAAAACATAACAATCAATAAAAGGTCCAGTGTGCCACATTTAGGAGGCACTATTGGCAGAAATGAAATGAAATTAGTGTATCATTACCTGAATATAGGAATTGTTTTGTTTTCGTTACCTTAGAATGAGCCAGGCCATTTGTTTGCCCAGAACAGACACACCAAAATCTGGCTCTAGATAGGGCCATTTGCATTCTTTGGGTGTTTGGCAGCCACCGTAGTTTCTCCCTTGCACTTGGAAAGGGAGGGTGAAGCAACTTCACTGCTAGATGCCACTAAATCCTACACACTGGACCTTTAATAATCATCAAATTGACATAAATCAATGAAAAATGACTTAATAGCTACATAAGACATTATTGCATTGTTAAAGTTGAGACCAACAGTGAATTTCAGGCAGTCTTGAGTCACTCAACAAACGATGTCTTGTGAAGAAAACGGCTTATTGTGCTGTGTATCAAACTATATATGACATCTATAACATACAGTTTGATACTCAACATCTGAGCCATTTTCCAAAACCCAGCAGTCTCACAGGCCTTAAAGTAGAGGATAAAACCTAAAAGTGGTAACAAAGAGAATACACAAAGTCTCTGTAAAGAATTTAATGTTTCTACAAAAAACTGCTATTATAACAAGGCTCACACATGCTACAGATATTCCATACAGACATACAAATATTCATTGCTCCAGTGCCATAAGATAAAATAATTGCTGCACGGCTGATGCTAAGATGCATTAACTGAATTTAATGAAGTGTAACATGCAGTCGCAAGATATACAGCAACTTTACAAGAATCAAAAATATCACACCATGAAAGACATCATAAGTAACAGTAAACAGGTTTTTTGTTGATGATGTTGTAGTTTTTACAAGTTTAGTTCATTTAAAGCTGCAGTAGGTAATTTTTATAAAAAATAACCTTTTGCTACATTTGCTGAACCTCACTATATCCTATTAGACCCATTAGACAGATAATCTGTGAAAAAATCCTCCTAGTGCTCCTAAGGATGGCATTTGCAAGAACGATTAATCGTCTCATGTTCTACTGTCAGGATATAGTGAAAGTTTCAGCAAATATGACAAAAAGTCATTTTTGTACAAGATACCTACTGCAGCTTTAAATATAATTTGACAACACCTACACTGTTGTTGAAGACACTCAAATAATAAAATATGACAACCAATGCTAACAGTACATTATAAACACATTTTAATCAATATTTTTAAATGCTTTCTTGCCAAAAGTTAGATAAAAATTCATACCTGTATGCTAAATATGAAGCTAGAGTCACAAGATGGTTCATATTTAGTGTACACACATGAGAGTGATATCAATCTCCTCATATAATTCTCGATAACTATTGCTGTACAAAAACATGAATGTGACAGTGAAATCTCATGTTATACATTCTTACAAAGCCTATAAAATTAAAAATATACAATGTAATGTGGTAATATAACCTGAGTTTGCTGTATCAGCCGTGTTATACAAGCAGTTTGACTCATATTTTCATCATTCATTTATTTCATTTTTTCATTCATAGGCCTTGCTTATATAGTTGTTTGGATTAATTGCAATGGATACGTACACTGACACACTACTGAAAAAGTCATTTCTCATAAAATATTGCAGAAATCATAGAAGCTTAACTACTAAATATGCATAAGATTTTTCTTAAATTTTTGCTGAATCAAAAAAATGATATATGATTGTAAAACATTCTGAGTATGTTGCATAAAAGCAAAAAGCAGTCAGTAACTTTAGACGGGAAAAAAAAAGAAATGTTCTTATCACTCTACTGTACATTTAACGAGAAATAAATGTTTCTTACCTGTGATTTGATGGCAGGCCAACACTTTGTACAGGTAATAATACACAGATAGAGCAAACATGGTCTCACTGGAGTGTCAGTGAGCACATCAGCAGTACACATTAGATTACATTTTCTGTGTATACAGGGAACATGTAAGACTGTAAAACATGTCTGTTTGCCTTTTCATAAACTGTACAATCTTGTCTGACTTGACATTGTCAGTTTTTCAGATTATGGTTGATTCAATTTCTAGGGATGCAATTTTATAGTTTGCCATTAAAGAAAAAAAGGAGCTGGGTTTTGGGGTGATCCACTTTTCCAGATTAGACCCGCTTTTTCCTCACCCATCTTCGCCTGGCACCAGGTAGTCCTCATCCGCCTTCTGCATCAATCCCGGAGGTGTGGCTGTGACACTTTCAGGTGTGGTTTGGGGGCTGTCGTGGACTTCAGCTTCAGTCTGAGTGATTTCAGGTCCGGCTTCAATGTCATCGTAATTCTCCTGTGGATCATCCACCTCGTAGGTCACCCCGTCTGTTAAGGAAAAAAAAGTTGCATGTTAAAATTTGCTTGGTATGATTACTGAAGATGTGATAATTTGTCAACTATACTGGCATTTAAATGTGAGACAAGATGGGATTAAACAGGTTCAAAACTTTCCTGAGCTCTGATCGAGGGCGCCATCGTGGATGTAGCGATCTCCTGAGGCCTGAGAGGTCAGCGGCTGAGTCTCGACCACTTCATCAATATCATCGTAAGGCAAAGAGGAAGTGCTCCGCGCGTCGCTCTCCATGATGACTTCAGCCTCTGATCTGAACCCTGCATAAACAACAGCAGCAGAACACCTTCACATAGTCCTACTTTAAAAATCACATGTCTGGCATTTCTATTATGTAAACATGAAACCATTATAGGGTTTCTGCAGGTTTCAACAGGTTTAATTTAAGACTTTTTAAAACCATTATGAATGCAATACAGAACCTATTTTACGTCCATACTGGCAAAAAAATATGAAGGATATGAAGAAAGACTGCTGGTCGGTTTCGTTTTGTAGTTGTCAAAGCATGGTCATTACAATTTTAATAAGTAACTGTAATTACTTCACATAATTTTTAAGACGATATTGAAGACAATTTAAGACATTTCAAGGCCTAAAAATTCAGATTATTGGATTTTAGACTTTAAAATCCTGCAGACATTTCACATGCAATAAAATAAACTCAAGATATTTTCACCTTATTACAAGTCTGAAAAAAAAAATTAAGAAAAGAGATTAAAATAATGGTAAGAGGTGACACTGAACAATATTACAATACACTAGAATACACTCAAAGTGAATTGTGCAAATATTTGTGTCAAAGAAATCCAGTAGTGCAGCTCTGGCAGCTACTATATATATAGTATAAAGTAAAATAAAGTATATAGGTATAGGTATGAATATAAAAGATACACATTATGATAATAATAACACTATACAGTAATATTACAATAATTTAAAGTACATATAATAGATATCAAAGAGAATGCAATGATATAGCCTACATATGATAATATAAAAGCAGCATAAATAGCAATACAGTAGTAACATGGTATTATTATATACTAATATAAGTAATAAAATGCCATTTAAAATAAATAGTATTATATATATTACTATTGTACTACTCTTCTCATTGTAGTCATAATGTTGATGATATATAATAAGTACATAAAAATAAAATAAGTGAATGAATGTGTTTTGAGACTCACTGCCACGACTGAAGTCTTCCATTTCATTTGCTTTGTTTGTGACATCCTCATAGTCGCCGCTATCAAACTCTAGGTCTGGTTCTTGTCTTGAGAACATTCTCGCTACATGAAAGAGCATTAGATATTAGATAAGATAGGATATTCCTTTAGTGATCCCCATGTCCCCCTGTGTCCACTGACAATCACCTGTTTTACATTGTGATAAAGAGGACAGCACAAGTGAGTAAACAACACACATTACAACTCTATTTTTGTTCCAACAAGCACTGGTGAGCAGAGCTGAAGCACTGATATTTGAACGTCTAAGAGCTGAAATGCTGGGAAATATTTAGTCAGGATAGAAAAAGACTGGCCTCTTGTGGCCAAATGGCTCCAGTACACCTTTTTTTCATTACAATGGGATGATTGTTAGATAGATTCATTTTGTTTTCAGTCTGTTGGAATGGTACCCTTTTTCAAGGTAATTCATTAAAATTGTAATCATCAATCAGTATTTAATTTTAACTGGCAAACAGAATAGAGTAATATACTCACACGGGACATTCATGGACTTCTTTCCTTTCCTGACAATGTAGACTCGTACAAATACAACAATCAGTATCACCAGAAACAGAAGAAATCCTACTCCCAGGATAATAGGCACAACTGGGGTTGGTTTGGGAATAGGACCGTCTTCTTTTCTCTTCACATACCCTAAAATCAAACATAGCCACAGTATGCATTTACTCATGGAGTGGGACTGGTACTTGATTCATCTAGTTATTCTGTGTTAAATACAATACAGAATATACAAAAAGCTGATTCTAACGCTAGACTTTTTGGAAAAGGATTGGTTACCTTTACAGTAGATCTCAGCTGGTTTGTCTGTGTCACACGACTGTATTTTGACACAGTGCTTAATGTCGTTGTTATTCTTCTCACAATTCAGTGTTGTTTTTAAATTAACCTTGAAATTGAAATTCAAACTTGTCTTTAGAGTAATACCTTTCCGTGCAGCCATACAAAATAATAGAGATTTGCATTATACACAAGTGACAACACTTATCAGAATAATGAGTGGGACTTTGCCACAAAAGTGTAATACAAAGGTTTACCTTTACCTTTTTTTTCTTTTGGTTATTATTGCTGTAGGGGTTTATTATAGAATCATGACAACCGAGCTCTTTACACAGCAATTTGCTCACCCGGGCACTGTTAGATGTTAGACACACCTTTTCCCACTCGTCATTTTTATATTTGACTTCAATTTGACCTCCACACTTTTCTGTTGTGCGGAACTTGACATTGCCTGTAAAAGAAAAGAAAACTACTTTAAAAAAGTGTTTAAAGGAATAATTTGACATTTAAGGAAATTATTCCTTCTGGGTGTTACTTGAGAATATCCACAACATGCCCATAATTAGCTGTCTGCAAATGGGGACTTAAACATATACTCCAACATGCATAGGATAATGTATCAAAAAACTGAAAACATCAACAGGAAAAATGTATTACAAATTTAATGGGCAACGAAGTAAATTATTTTAAGGTAGATAAAATATAATGCATAAGAATCATTGGGTAGAAGCAGATATTAGAGAACATGTTAAAGCTCCTGTCACACTAATGAATCATGAAGTGAAAACTTTTTTTGGCTCATCTATGACACAGTTTCTCTATTTAAAATAACATTAATGACATTTCTTCAGTCAAGGTGACAGGAGGACACTTACCAACACAGTAAACAGACACCGGTCCAGCATCACACTTTTCCTGATATCTGCTGCATTGGCTAAGTCTGTGGTGGTAGTCCTCACAGCTGACATGGTGGTAGGATGTATCTTGCCTTTTTTCTTTATTATAATATAAAGGCATATCGATAGCATTGCTGCAGTTCTGTTGTTGACAAACCATGTGTGAATAGGTGTGGTTCCAGTTACTGGAGCACACACTAGTGTCATCCATCCTCACTTCACCACTACAGTTCTCTGAAAGTGTGACCTTGAGCTTATCTAGGAAGGAAAACAATAAAATAACAAGATCAAATATTAAAGGCTAGATATTGGAGAAAACACCAAATCCAAGCCATCAGAGTTACTCTATCACTTTCAGATAGTGCTGAACACTCTCTGAGCAACCACACAACCAAAGTTAATGAAAGTCACGGACAGCACTCATTAAGTCAAAGGGGAGTGCTACAGTATGTGGCTGTGGGGAGTTTAAAGCTGGAGATGTACTCTGGCCAATACGATTATTGTGAATTAGTTGCCAAATTTATACAACTTCAAAGATTGTATAATCATTTGACAGCAATATTGCATAAATCAATTTTACCTTGACATTCAATCCACAGCTGCTGTTTCTGCGAGGGCACTGTTTGAGTTTCACAGTCCCAGATGTTTTTTGGTGTTATATTACTTGCACAGCTGAAGCTGCTGTTCCAGAAAGAATCAAATGATTTAATTGTTTTGTTTTTGTATGATGTGTAGCTGCCACATTCCAGATCCTTGCAAAGCCTGTCCATCTCAGTTTTTGTCCAGCCTTCAATGGAGACGGGGTTTCTGTTTTTCTCGGAGTGAACAAACACAGCTCCACTACAGGCCTCATCATATTTCAGCTCCATCTTCCTCCAGCCTACGATTAGTAGCAGGGACAGGTGAGATAAGATTCAGGAAATCAAAAACTCACAAAACCTGAGGTAATCAGCAGAAGCTCAAAGTCTACATGTTGTGGCCACAAACCAGTGAAGTTAGCTTGTAATGTGAAAAACAAATGAAGGTCCCAAACAAGCTTGAAAACATTGAGCTAAGCACATCCTAACTTTTCCAACATGCTTTTTCTTTGTCAAACTACAGCTTCTGTGATATTCTCTCGATTTAATTATTTCTTTTCAGAACATCATGCTAAAGCTAGAATAACTAGATATAATTGTAACAGAGTAGCTATAGGAATAATGAAGACACTGATCAATTTGAGACAAAATCATTATACATACTGGAGCACTGGAGTCCAACAAGAGTGCAGGTGCTCTTCTCAGAAACTATGTCACATTCTGTTAATGACTTGGTGTCAATATTGGGACACTGTATTTTTGTAATGGCATAACCCGTTGTTGATGTAGGTCCGAAGTAGTTAACCTGTTTGATCACATGGCCACAGTTCAGTTCCCCACAGATGGCATTTTGCGTTTTTGGGTCTTCTAGAGCATCTCTGCACACTGGGAGCCAATTGCCTTCATACTGCACGTTCACATTTCCATAACATTTTTGCCTGGATGCACTAAATTGAGCCTTGACACTGCCTGCAACAAAACCATGAAATGTACAATGTTAGAAGCAAGTGTACGTTTTGTCACTTGTTATGTTTAATAAAACAAACAAGGACAGTGTCATGACAGCTGAGTTACAACCATTTAAATGGATCATGCAGCCGTGCACATCAAATTTTACAATGATTGATATGTGCTTATTCCAAATACGTTTCTAACTGTGTTCAAGAATGTGGAAGAAACAATGGAAATTTAGTTATTTATTCAATGTACCAAATTTAGTGAAGAATTCCATGAGGCATTTAGCTGACCAAAAGGATACATTTTATGATAATGATCACATATTAAAATGTTTTTTGAATATACATAATTTACAAACACTCCATTACCTGAGCAAACGACAGTGGCTAGTTCACATTTGGTAGCTTTTTCACCAGATTCATCATTATTGATGAAGTTGCACTGGCTCAGAGAGGTAGTATGCGTCGTGGTGTGCAAACTCTTAAAGATGGGTTCTTTTTCAATTTTTTGGCCGGAAGTTAGGATTTTATCCCCACAGCCGAGGTCTTTACACAGCATCATCGACTTTTCTTTTGTCCAGGAGCCTTTGCAAACACCTCCACACTTCTCTCCCAAACAAACATTGACAGTCCCATAACACCCTTCGGTCAGGTTCACAGTGATAGCTCCTGTTGTGACAACAAAAAGCAAACGGGATGAAGGAGTTGTTTGCAGACTTGCATCAGCAGATTATCTCACAACTACAGCATTTCTTAGACCAGCTGAAGACAAATGCATGATATTTTCAATGTATTAATTTAGTTAATGCTAGTAGCTAGTAGTATAGCTAGCTATAGCTAATTACAGCTGATGGCTAATGTTAGCAAAGCGCAAGATAACTAGCTGGCCAATTTACATAAATTGTTAGATAGTTAACTTAATATGTTGCTTTTATCTTTTTTTTACCATATTCAAAGCAGGTTGTATTTTAAGCATAGACGAGCTAGCGCATAGCACAGGGGTCAAAAGAGCCACATTTGGCCAAAAGACAAACGTACAATTTGAGCCAATGATTTTCTCACCGCAGATCAAGCATACCGATAAGTATTGTCTACGCACTTTTAAATCAAAATTCAAGACTAGTAGCCACTAGCCACTACTATTGAGGTTTGGTAAAATATAAAGGAAAGGCACAAGGTCAGGACATAACATGCACTATAATGCAACATGTTAGTTAACCAATTATCTTGCTAACTAGCTAGCTAATTTTCATCCATTTATAGTTAGCTACTTAGCTAACATTTTGCTAACATTAACTGACTTAAGATGTGACTTTATATGTTATTTTATATTATAACATCTTCAAATTTGTTTGTCATTTCAACATAGACCAGCCAACACTGTAAACCCAGATCAGTTAATTTAACTCAGAACATTTTGAAACTGATTGCATCAAAAAGTAAACCTAATTATAAAAAACATTCTTGATTAAGCCATTTTAGTAATTTAAATGAGAATGACTTAATTTTGTAATTTTTATTTGTATGGTGAAAATTATTTCTCAGGAATGTTTCTGTTAGCGACACTTAAAATTAATCAATAATCTTTTAAATTTAAAAAAAAATTGAGTTTGTGCTACTAAAGATTTAGAGTAAAATTAACTTATCTGGTTTTACAGTGTTGCACATTGCATATCTAAGTACAGGAAAGGAGAACGTTGACTGAGGCTTGCTAAACTGTAACTGGAGCACAGAGCATAAAAGAGCGTGACTTCAATTATTTTTCAAGAGCAGCTGACATTACCTGAGCATTTCACATAAGCAATAGTGTCATTGTGGTCAGATGGCAGTTTTTTCTTTGTTTTTTTACAGTCAAACAGAGACTTGGTGTTGGAAGAGCAGTTAAAAGATTCATGCCAAACATCTTTCTTCATATCAGCACTAGGGAAGTTTTCATATTTGGAGGCTTTCCCACACTGCATCTGCTCGCACACTGTGTTTGCAGACTCTTGGTTCCATGTGTTTTTAGACCCAGAGAGCCAGTAGGTTTTGTTGCCGTGCTGTATCCCTACCATGCCAGAGCAGGTATCGTTTAGAAATACCACCTTGTGACCTGATAGGGACAAAAAATGAAAACAGTTAAGCATTTAGATTGGTGACAGGCTGGCAACTTGTCCAGGGTGTCTTCATCTTCCTTCACAACTATTAGGCTCAACCCCCCTGCAAAAACTTAGGGTTAGCAAGTATAGAAAGTTACTTTTTCCTAAAAATTCAGAAAAAACTGAGATGTAGTTTTAAGGTTAAACAATAACTGAACCCTAAGTTGAAGAGACAATATTTTTTAAGGAACCACGTCGAAAAATGGTCTGCTCAGGTATTTAGTTGAGTACATTTTGAGCTGTGATATCATGTTTGAAATGTGCTATTTTAAGTATGTTCTGTCCCCCCGAAAACCCTATTGAGGTTTTCATAACCTTTTCAGCTGGCTTCTTTCAGGTTAAATGTATAAAGGTGAGCATCTTTGGTTGATACAGTTTAGATTCAGGTAGCTGGTGAACATAGTGGAGTTGGTGAAGAGCGAAAAGGAGAGTGAATATCTGACATTGACATCTGACATCTGGCCTGAAACACAACTTCAAATGGATGCTAATATTGCTCTGTGTCTGCTGGATGTGGAATTCATTTGTTTTTACAGTTGCTGGCAAATATAATGAATTAATGCTGCTTTAAAGAAAAGAAAAAAATTAACCATTAGGGCAAAGAAATATGGCGTGTATGGCAAAACAAAAAAACACTTACCTTCACAGGTTATCATCTTTGCCATCTCAGAGGGTGAAATCGCTTGAGCGAATTTTGTAATACACTCATATATACTCGTAAAGCCTTTACTGCAGGATACAAGCTTATTAAGGAAATCAGCTGAACCCTGGCTGAATGTTTCCGAATCGCCAGATCTTGCTCCCCCACATTTCAGTTCCTTGCACACAATATCTGAATTGAGGTTTGTCCATTTTTGTGTAGAAACCCTTTTCCATTTGCCCTCATGCTGGATCTCCACTCTCCCAGCGCATTTTCCAGGACCATCCGCCAATCTCACCTTCACACTCTCTGTAAGATGACAGCAAGGAAATTGTCAAACATGAGACTAAATGAAAGATTCTGGTCATGGTATTAGTTAAAGATTTAATATTGTTATTATGAACAGGAAGACACCATCACCATATAAATGTTGCCATATCTCACCTGAACAGACTACGAAGGCTTTTTTAGTACAAGGGTTGTTGTTATGCTTTCCCCTACAGTGCCACAGTGAGGACTCCTTGCCTGAGCACTCCACATTGTCCATGATGCCATTGTGACTTACTGGACGTGTATATTGATCAACCACCTAGAAGAGAGAATTTGTTCATGATTTCAGTATCATGTCAATAATTTGTACCAGACAGAAAACTGATTGACTCAAAAAGGACACTCAGTTTCGACAAACTAAGAATAAGAATAAGAATAAGAAAAGAGCACTGGAACTGTTGATATAGATAAAATATTTAAAAGGAATAGTTTGACATTTTCTGTATTATCCTTATATGCTTTTTTGTCAAAAGATACTACAGACACCAGGTAATTATGAAGCTAGAATGTGAAGACTGACACAGGGGGTAACAGCTTGCCTAATGGTAAAAAAAAAAAACAAATACAAATAATATAAAATAAATAATATTTCCCAAAATGTCAAACTATTCTTTAATACATTTAAAGCAAGATGTAAGATGTAACTTTTGAAAAAAGAAATTCAATACACTCAGGGGTTTTGTTGCTACAGCCTCACTTGGTCTGGTATGACCAGTAGTTTATGGTGGCTAATGTTTGCTGTTAGCAAACTTTAAGTAGATATTTTTGCATAGCTGACATTGCTGAGCCAGTTTTACTATGTGTACTGATATACTACATTAGCATTTAGCATTACTCTTAAATGTCACGTGGCTACAATGGCTGCTGGTAAGCAAAAGTTACATAAGCTGACATGAAATAAAATATTTCTTTAATAGTGCTACTAAAATTGAAAACTCACTGCCCCACACTTTAGCTCCTTGCAAACCACTTCAGCAGTCTCATGGGTCAAAGAGGAGCCGCACACAGAATGAGTGAAATCATTCACTTTAATCTGAACTTCACCATAGCACTTGTCGTTTTTAGCATTGCTCTTCAGAACTACTTGAACATTGTCTGTGGGAAATAAGAAAATAGGAAAGTGTTGATTTTATGATTTTAAAGCTGCACTTTTACAAAAAATAACTTTTTGTTGTATTCACTATATAAGTAGTACATGCGACAGATAGTCCTCCTAGTGCTGCATTTGCAAGGATCCACCAGACCTGAAAGAAGACTATCTACTTCTTTCAGGTCTGAGACTACTAGAAAACTATCTTTCTTGGCTCTGATTGGTTGTCTTCTTTCAGGCCTGGTGAATTCTTGTAAATGCCATTAGGAGCATTAGGAGGAGCCAGAGGAACTTGATTTTTTTTTTTTGTCTCATGTACTACTGTAAGGATATAGTGATAGTTTCGGCAAATATGACAATAAGTGTATTTTTTTAAAAGTTACCTACTGCAGCTTTAAAATTGTTCAAGATAGTGGGTCAGTAAAATATGAATGTGACTTAATTAATATAAATTTTTTTCAATAATACGAGAGAAAACAAGATAATGATGACAAGATTGTTTTGATCTGGAAATACAACAATAAAGTGGTTGCTTTGAGGTTGCTTGTGGAAAAGATGTGGTTAAATACGAATTAGCTGAGTTACCTGTGCAGTTCAGATGATGTGCGCCATTGTTAAAACTATAACTGACACTGGTACCACAGTGCATATGTTGGCACCACACATCAGGAGCGCTTTTGCTGCTGCTGTTAACGGGTTTCCAGTCGCCATTCTCCTCCATTTCAAGTATTCCAGAACAGACATTTGCTTCATCTCCTTTGAGTTGCAGTTTCTTAAAACCTGTTTCAATCAACATTTGCTGAATTCACATTCATGTTGCTACACTTGAGTAAACTTATGTGTGTGTGAGTGTGTGATCTACCTGTGCAGATGACAGTAGCAGGGATTTTACATTCCTGTTTTTCCTTTTGAGCTGTACACTGCCACAGATTAGTTTCATTAAGGCCTGAACAGTCGATCATCATCATCTTTGAGTGTTGGATTTTGTTAAAATCCATCCATTCTTTCTCAGGAATCTCCTTGGATGTACCGCACCCAAGGGTTTTACATAAACGTTCTGCCTGTTTTTCTCCTTAATGTGAGAATAAAAACACATAGAATGTTTAACAATCATTATCTAAGCATTTGACCATGCTGATACCAGTAGTAATGTTAGGATTTTAAGAAGGGACAAGAAGAAGAAGAAATACATTTACAAAAGTAAAGCTGCTTTTAATTTGAAAGTATGAAAGCTAGTGTAATGTTGTAGGCACCTGAAGATTTAACAAACATGAGAATTCATTAGGATTTTTTTGTTATTTCTAATATTATATTATGTCTGCTACACTGCCAGTTAATACAGCTGGGGCAGCTGGGGCTCAGGAGGTAGAGCGAAGTGTTCCCTATTGGGAAGGTTGGCCAGTGATGGAAAGTAACTCAGTTAATCATGTACTGTATTTGAGCCTTGAGTATTTCCACTTTGTGCTACTTAAGTAGTTTTTTGATATTGGGGAGTAATGGCGCAAATACCTTAACACCTAGCCGGACCCTACAGGTGGATACTGGGGTGGTTGTGGGGCTTACAGCGCAGCAGGCAGCAATGGATTGCAAGGCAACAGCGGCATTGACAAAGCAGAGGGAAAGCTGGGAAATTTTGCAGTTTAAGTAGACCGCCAGATTGGAAGGGCCGCAGCTCGCAGTCTTCGCTGGATCCATCAAAGAGCAATTTCCCCATCTAAACGTCCAACCTCCTTTCATCATACGACCCCTCAGATTTATCTAGTAACCCTTTAGAGGTGCCTGACCCTAGACTGGGATTAAACCACCTAACTTTTTAGTATTTACACCTCGAGCAGCTACAACAGTAAAATGCTGCTTAACCCACATGTGCCCCCAACTGACATTTGAAGTTTTCCTATCATGCAGTCTTTGGGACTACTGTTTTCTTATAAAAAGGCTGAAAATGCTACAAGCAATAAAAAAATATTTTCAGTACACACATGTGACAAGTCCTTATCCATATAAATAAAAGTTGCACACACAAATGTAAGAAATTGGCTGTATCTCAGAAACTACAAGGAGGACAATAAAGTATTTGATATATTTGAACTCATAAGAATTTAGAGAAGATTTTTACACTGTTGTACTGTGATATTAATCTCACAGGCACCCTGTGTCACTCCATGGTGATTACATTTCCTTTGCACTTAATGTCCTAACTCCTAACACTGAGGATACCTTCACACTCCAGGCACAAGTGACCCAAATCTGATTTGGCTCTTAATGGCACAAATCACATGGAATCTAATCTTTTCAGTTCTGATTTTGGCCACTTTCAGATGTGGCACATCAGATCCGATTTTTGCAATGTAACCTCAGTGTGAAGAATTATATCAGAACTCATTCGGGTCACTTCAGGAACGTGACCGGTTCACACTGGTATCTGATATGGACCTCATTTTAAAAAAAATGTGAACAGCCAAACAATAAAATCAGATCTGAGCAATAAATTAGAATTGAGCACCAAGCCTTGCAGTGTAAATGTAACCAGTAAATTCTGTGGAAGTGTACTGCATGCATGATGCTAACTCTTACCCCAGTTATTAGAACAGAAGTAACCTTCCTCACTGCCACTGGAGTACTTTACTATTCCGGCACATTCATATCCCTCCAGCGTTATTTTGATTTTATCTAAAAGAGTAAAAACAAGTAACAGACAATTATATTCTCATCATTATCATCATGAAATTGAGAATTTTAAAGGTGTACTTTTCAACATATATAACATATTATGCATCTTGACAAATTAAAAAAGTTCCTTACTTGAACATTCAATCCATTTAACTGCATCCTGTTTGTACTTGCTGATTCCCCAACCAGGATTTTTACAGTTCCACAGTTGACTCTCATTTCCCTCGCATTCCAATTCATTGAGCAACACCATGCTTTGCTCAGGTCGTAGTGTGCCGGACGCCCTTGACTCTGGTGACCCACAGTGAGTGCTCCTGCACACCACTTCTTCAGTTTTTTCACTCCAATATTGTTCCCCAACGTAGCCTCGGACACCATTATGGTAGATTTCAATGTGGCCTTCACACGGGTTCTTTCCATTCTTACTTCTCAGAATCAGCCTGTTTACATCACCTGGTTATATGGCAATGAGGTTCATAGAGGTTTGTAAATATAGGGTATTTGTTTTAAAGTCTTCATGCATTTATTTTGTGAGAATTCTGAGGTTGCTGTCAGTGTTTGCATGCCTGGTCTAAACCTGTTTCTGTTTCTATGGCAAAATTAGTTTTAATTGTGAGTAAAATTTTATTAAACTTTTAAAGTTTGTGATCTGTACTGTACTTTTTAACTTTACAAAATTTCTTATTTTCATTTACAAAGCAGGGTTGTAGAATGATATTTAGATACAATTAATTTATGCTAATATTAAAAACCAAGTAGAAATGTAAATATTCATATCCAAATATCAATATTTATCTTTGGTTTGTTTTTGTAACTTTATCTAACTATGTTTTATTAAAACTAAATTCACAAAGTCATGAAATTCTGAACAGCGGCGAGATCTGGCATTGGACCGGGGTGCCGTTTTCTGGTGGTGGCGCTGCCGTAATAGCTACAGCTTTAATAACATCAACAAAAATCTATGAGACAAATTTTTCATGGCAACGTGGTGTCAATTCTTTTTTATCAAAATCTATTAAAGGTTACTTCAGAATTTTAAAATAAAATTTTACACAGTTTTACACAGACTTGTTTGGTTTTTTAATAAAAACATTTTATTTTAATTTTTTTTATTTTAATTCTCCTGATTTAACTTCCATATATAAAGACTTACCTTTACACTTCTTTAATCTCAATTACTTTGTCAGAGACAGGATGTGTGTTATAACTTTTGGGATGGGTTTCTTTTTTTTTTTTCTTTTTTTTTTTACAAATCAAGAAAATTCAACAACTAAATATTTTTGAACACTAGCCAGCTCTAGGAGTATACCATTTTTTAGATTAGCATTAAAGATTTTTTGATAAATCATTAATCACTTATTTGGTTTAATTATTATTACTATTGATGTTTTTACATGAAATGAAAATAAGCTAACCTAGCTGAATAGTCCAGTGTCATCCAAACTAATGCTGACAAAACTGTAACAATATTTTTCTGATTGTGAAACTGTAGGAGTATTTAATTTATTTTTTTAAAACCTTAACAAGGATGAATCGTGTAAAACTGAACTTTTTATGAGGTCTAAGCAAACGCTATGCTAAGACTGGAACCCGGTTGCTATATTGCTGCTTATAGACATAATTAGAACAATTACTTACAGAACCCCTTATCTTTTACTTTCAGGAAATGACAAAAAATAACAATTTTTTGATTCAGAGAGACATTTCCGGCAGCACCTGCTTGTGCTTACCTTCCAAAAATAGCTAACATTGACTTTAATATAGGTTGTGGAAAGGTTGCAGGTTTACAATGAAACCCTCAAAACCTCCAAATGTGTTAAATCAGGCAAACCACTGTTCATTTCAATGCAAAAACACAGAGTTAAATCTGAAGAGAATAGCTGTAACTTGCCTTGTAGGAACACCAGCTCAATGTGAGCTATGTAGAGGAGGAGAAGGAGGAACCACATCTTCACCACAGCTCATGACTAGAGAGTGAGGCAGATGAATGAGCCGCTCAGCTTTATATCGCCAAGGATGCGCCCACCAAAAATGGATATGAGCTGTTACATGTATATCATGCATAGTAAGATTCACAAATACAGTCTCAGAATGAAAGAAAGCTGACAAAACTTACAGACAGTTTATCATATGGAGGCTCTTATTTTTTATAAAACTATTTGTAATTTGAATGCATTTACGAATGAATCAATGGTTGAAGGGGAAAAAAAGGACAGGTCATATAATACTCATATTTGTTTAAATAAGTGAACACAAATAAACTTTGATGTTGAGTGGGACATCGGTTGAGAGTCTAAGTGGTACAAGTGCAAAAACACGTGGTGGCAGTAGGAAATGTCTTAGATATGCTACAGATTCATGAGATTATTAAATTGATGGCTGTAAATAGATTGTAAGGTGCGTGTAAAAGTTTGTACATTTTCAAATCTGTTCATGCTTTAATTTTCTCTTTGACTGCACTGGAAGGTATTAACATGTTATTCTTTTGAGATGTACGATTTAGGTTTTAATGTTGACTTCAATTAACACCCATGAAATAAATCCATTTATATTCTCCTAATATCTAACTCAACTGCAGACTGGTGACTGATATTCAAAGTTGCGTCTAAATAAAATGTCTTCCAGTAAGATCACAAATATTTCATTAATTATACTATATATATATATACATATATAATTCAACTAATTCCCAATCGTTGATTTAAAAAAAAAAAAAAAATGTAAGTACAAAAAACCAAAAAATTTTACCTCCTTTTCTTAGTGGGGATTCCACCACATACAAAGAAAGTGCGATACTTGTGCAATAGTGGAAAATGATCAATCTTCAAACCCCTGTACCCCATGTACCACATTTAAAACTAAAACTTAAATAAGAAATATAATTTTAAAATGTTTGACATGACTGCTCAGCAAAAAGCCGTTGTGATTACAACAATTACATTGTTGATGACATTGTTCCCCAACAATGTAACTGTAAACTCATTGTATAAATATCACAAAATAAAAAAATAAAAAAATACATTACTCTGTAATTAAGAAACATGATAAAATGAATTAAAAAATGAACTACCTTTTGGGGTTTCTTTATACTGAGATCTTAATCACTGTGTTTATAACAGACAACATATCTTACAGTTGTCTTAGAACTGATGCCAGTATCATTAATATGATCTGTCTTTAATACAGTTATTTTAAGTGTCAATCTCTTCCAGCAATCCTGACATCTGAGAACTACAAAGACTCAGCTTTAAGGAGTGATACACTCTGCAGTCATCAAGGGAGCCAAATGTCAACTAACATCAGAGAAATGTCAAGCTATTAATGTTCTAAGAAACAAATGATTAATTTCGTATTAAATACTACGATACTCCTGCTGCCTATTATCAATAACATTTAAAAACTCTGATAGTGATAGAATAATGTCTGGCTTCCTCAACTGAGAGATCTAGAAACTTTTAAATAGGAACTTTGAATAGTATGAGGGTAATGACATTAAATGGAAAATCTAATTTACGTTGTCATTTCTTGAGGTAGAATCACACACACACACATTTTTCTTTTTCATTTTTTAAACAAATAACGCAGATATAAATCCTCATTTGCTGCACTCATTCAGCCAGGACACCTTTGCGTGGGCATATTTAAGGATATTGCACAACATCTGAATACCTTTTTGATTGTGATCAAGACTAAAACAAAGTCACCTAAACAGTTAAAGGAAACTGATAGTTGTCCATGCATGCAGACGTACAGTATGTTGTATTACCATAGCCAAAAAAGCGAAGGTTAGAGAAAAGCAGAAATAATTCATTTATTAATTCATATCACATTCATTCAATTTATAAATCAACAGGGGTTTCCGTTAACATCGGTAAACTTTGTGTTAACCTTTAACCTGTCTGCCATGCTCCAATGTCAGGATGTTATGTTGCATTTTTGTCTGTTTAAAAAAACCTATATACCCCATACACGTAAAATCCCACCACCATTCCGGGACGACAGGTACAATTCTTTCACATGTCACTGTCAGGATTCATCTTCCTACTGTGTGTGTGTGTGT